GCAAGCCTCTGCCTTATAAAACATCGATTTCAATAGATAGTTTGTGATTTTGCTGACTATAGATTTGATGATTGTATCCCTAATCCTAAAAACAATGCAAGATTAGTTATTGCTATGCTCCAATAGTTCAAAAGTTGCTTCATTGAATTTTCCCTCACCTTGCGGATGCCCACCCGATCCTTGTGAGGGTTGATGGGACACACTCAACCCCCTTGTGAGCCACTATATTGCCCTCAATTCCAACCTCACGTGCAAGGCTTCCATTTTTTAACCATGTTGTGTTCATGTTATCACATTAGCACACTGCAAGTTTATGCTTATCATCCGTTTGTTACTACGCCCTGGAGGCGACTCCTCCTGGTTTCAACATCAAATTTGCCCATCCTATGAGTTCATGGTTCTCTCAGTGGTTATTACTTCTCCAGCCAAGATATCTAAGGTGGCAACCTTACTTCTTCAATCGGGTTTTGCTTTTGGCTTAAGCACCCTCAAAAACCTCTCTAGCTGCCTTTTGATTCAAAAACTTCTTCATACAGGCAGCCTGCTCCTCCGACGATCATGCATTGTGCTGGTTACCCTTAGGTTGCTTTTGCTCCCGATGTGTCAACTGCCTTGAAATCTCCTTTTACATGTGTCATGCATTCTTTCATTGAGGTTGGGGGTGTGGGGGATGGATTATAGATCTCAACTCGCTGGCTCTCTCCACTCAATTTTTTAATGTTTTCAACAAGGATCAGTCCCAACTTATTACAAAATGCCCTCTACACTTCATGATAGACCAACTTTTTTTTTCTGATGAAAAAATATACAAGTTAGCATATCTTTCTCTTTCACCATTCTTGGCAAGTTCTCTTAAGGACCACCCCACCTTACAATTGTTCACAAGTTCATTTTGATTAGTGATTTATTGGATATTTCTCCATTGAGTTTAATGACTCTCACCATGTTCTTATTAAACTATAAGTTGATTACTTACGAAATGTCATAGCGAGGACAATATTATGTGAACAGTTTTCCGATATGGATGCTTAAGTGGTCTCCATACTTTGATTGCTCTGCAGAACCACCTGTCACAATTTGAGTTACTTTTTCTGAGCCTTCAATTCATTATTTCAACTGATCTACACTAGTTTCTCCTGGTTCTGTTTTTAAAAATTTATTTTAAGCAGATGCTATTACTGCTAAACTTTTTAAAGAAGTTTCTGAAAATACGATCGGCCTTAGTAATCTTAATATTGTTAATAATAATAAAACACTTCATTTTTATCGTTGCATTAGTAAAAAAAAAATTAATGAGACTTTAAAGAAAACCAAAGGTGGAAAGTCTGTGGGACCCGATGATATCCCAATTGAAGTGTGGAAATTTTTAGGCGATTTGGGAGTTTCTTGGCTTACTAAACTTTTTAATATTATTTAAAAAACTAAAAAGATGCACGAGTAGAGAAAAAGTATTTTGGTCCCCATTTTTAAGAATAAAGAGATGCAAAAGAGTGTGCAAATTATAGAGGAATTAAGTTGATGTGCCATAATTTAAAATTATGGGAGAGGGTAACTGAACATAGGTTAAGACATATTACAAAGATTTCTCATAATCAATTTGGATTTATGCCAAGCAAGTCCATTATGGAAGCTGTACATTTATTGAGATGTTTGATGGAGAAGTTTAGAGATAATAAGGAGGATCTACATTTGATTTTCATTGATTTAGAAAAATCTTACGATAAAGTTCCAAGAGATATCTGTTGGAGAGTTCTTGAGAAGAAAGGTGTTGATATGACTTATATTCAAGTCATTAAAGATATGTATACTAAAGATGCTACTTGTGTTCAAACTGAAGGAGGATTGACCAATTATTTTACTATTTATGTTGGATTACATCAAGGATCAGCATTTTAGCCCACATCTTTTTTCTTTAGTTATGGATGGTCTTACTGGAGATTTACACGAGGATGTCCCTCGGCCTATGTTTTTTGCTGATGATATCCTTCTCGTGGATAAAACGAGAGAAAAAGCCAAGGAAAAACTTGAATTTTGGAGGTCTACATTGGAGTAATTTGCCAAGGAAAAACTTGAATTTTGGAGGTCTACATTGGAGTCTAAAGGCCTTCGTTTGAGTAGAACTAAAACTGAATACATGAAATATAATTTTAGTAGTAGTAACTATAGTGACAGAAGTGTAACTTTGGGTAATCAAATTATGAAAAGATGTGAACGATTTAGATATCTCGAATCTGTTGTTCAAAGCGATGGTGGTATAGATGGGGATGTTAATGGTAGAATTCAAGATGGTTGGTTGAAGTGGAGGAATGCTTCGGGCATTTTGTGTGAAAGCAAACTCCGCCTAGACTGAAAGGAAAATTTTATAAGATGGTGTTGAAACCTGCAATTATTTATGGATGCTCTATGGCTGCAATGCTCTATGGCACTGAATGTTGGCCTTTAAAAGAAAAGCATAATACTAAGTTAAGTGTCGTCGAGATGAGAATGATTAGGTGGATGAGTGGCTTTACACTTAGAGACAAAATGCAAAAAATGAATATCTTCGTGATAAAGTTGGTATAGCTCTAGTGACAAAAAAAAATAGAGAGAGTCGTTTTAAATGGTTTGGTCATATTATACGTCGACCATCTGATTATCCGATTAGGAGAGTAGATGTTTTAGATTTGAATTATGTTGTTGTTGTTGTTGTTGTTGTTGTTGTTGTTGTTGTTGTTGTTGTTGTTGTTGTTGTTGTTGTTGTTGTTGTTGTTGTTGTTGTTGTTGTTGTTGTTGTTGTTGTTGTTGTTGTTGTTGTTGTTGTTGTTGTTGTTGTTGTTGTTGTTGTTGTTGTTGTTGTTGTTGTTGTTGTTGTTGTTGTTGTTGTTGTTGTTGTTGTTGTTGTTGTTGTTGTTGTTGTTGTTGTTGTTGTTGTTGTTGTTGTTGTTGTTGTTGTTGTTGTTGTTGTTGTTGTTGTTGTTGTTGTTGTTGTTGTTGTTGTTGTTGTTGTTGTTGTTGTTGTTGTTGTTGTTGTTGTTGTTGTTGTTGTTGTTGTTGTTGTTGTTGTTGTTGTTGTTGTTGTTGTTGTTGTTGTTGTTGTTGTTGTTGTTGTTGTTGTTGTTGTTGTTGTTGTTGTTGTTGTTGTTGTTGTTGTTGTTGTTGTTGTTGTTGTTGTTGTTGTTGTTGTTGTTGTTGTTGTTGTTGTTGTTGTTGTTGTTGTTGTTGTTGTTGTTGTTGTTGTTGTTGTTGTTGTTGTTGTTGTTGTTGTTGTTGTTGTTGTTGTTGTTGTTGTTGTTGTTGTTGTTGTTGTTGTTGTTGTTGTTGTTGTTGTTGTTGTTGTTGTTGTTGTAGATGCTATTACTGCTAAGCTCTCCAAGGCATCAATGATTAAGGTCCCAATAGAAATAGACATTACTATCCATTTGGATAGGGAGATTCGTATTGGATCCATTGCCCATAATTACTAGCAGATGGAAGAATATGAGGGTGTTCGTTAAGATTGTTCTTGCAGAATATTTGATCACAATTTCACAAGAATTTGCAAGCTCGCCCATAATTGCAAAAATCATCTTTTAATGATCCTTGAAAGCATGACATAAAAGACCAATCGAATGATTAAAACTTAGTGGTTAGAGTTCTGGTTAGTTTTAATGGTGTTTTCATAAAAATTCAAACTTAAGCTAGATCTTATCACAAACTCAGAGTCTTCCTGGTTGTCTTCTACCAAAAAAGGGAAATCAACACCTAATCAGCTCACAAGATCACCGACCCATATCCACCATATATGTTATTTTCTCAAAATCATCCCGCTAATATTGATATTGGCAATCCAAATTTGCAGTCTTATAAATTTGATATTGATGTGAATATTTCAAATCAGACCTAGTGGATGAAACATATGCTAGGAGGGAAAGGAATAGAAAGAAAATATACCATCCCCAAGATTTACCAGACTTCAAGCAAGGCACTTTAAAGGATTCGCATAAGATTCCCTTCCGTCTAATGACCTTCGCTGTGTTGCTTTCTAGTTATCTTTGATATTATAGTCTTTTAATGTTGCACTTATTTCATTGACTGATTTAAAAAAAAAAAGAAATTTATTGCATGGTCACAGGAGACTTGATCAAGGAACCTTAGACTCTCCCTCCCTCCCTCACTCCTTTCCTTGGGACAATTCAAGCATCTCATACAAGAAAATAATGCATGAAATTTTAAACAAGTTCTCCACTCAATGCAAGACTGAGAAGTGCAATGTAACAACAGGCACAATCAAATAGCAATGGACATCTAAGTGAAATTAGATCGGCTTATGTAAAGCAGCCCAAACTCTGCATGTGAAAAATATCCGTAATATTAACTTATAACTGATATTGTAGGAATGCATAAAAGCAACGCACAGATTGTGATATATATCAAGTTAAGGCATATGTTGTCAATCAGTCCCTCCCCCCTTACTCTAAGGCTAATTCACACATCTCATACATGATTTTGTACAGCTGACTCCAGTCAGCAATCACATCGCTTAACTTCTATTTCCTTGCACATTAACCATCTTTTCAATACCAACAAAAAAACCCAGAAAAATATATATATGCTTCCTGCATTATTACGTAAACAGATCAAGCAAACATTAGCTGTGCTTTGGCACGTATCTAGATTTCATCTCCACATGTTCTCGTAAATTGAAAATTACCATCACAATTAAATTCGAAACTCTAAACGTTTCTCCTGAACAAACATACTTTATAAGTAAATGCAAATTAATATAATTTCATAGGGAATAATAATTTCCAAATAGGAAACTCATAGCACTTTTCGTAAGTCTCGGTAGACTAGAATGACCAACATTTTGAAACCAAGAACAAATTAAGCATTATAAAATTCATGCAATCAAGACTACTAAAACCCCCAGCTGATGGATACTCACTTTGACCCCAAAAAGAAAAAGTTATCTGCAGAACTGTGACTACTAAGGGACGAATTCAGGTGCAATGTCATCAAAAAGAAGGTTTAGATTTTCTTACCTCTATGCTTTCACATGTTGTAAGCTTTGCCCATATCCTTTCCCTGCTAATAACCAGTTGCAGTTGTTTCTGCAGAAGATTAATCCAAAATGAGATTTCTTCAACAGTACGCTCACCTTTATATTTAACACTAGCAGCTCGAGGACCAAAATGAAAAAGAAATTCTCTGCGTAGACCAATTTCTTTCATAGAATCATAAGCCTTCTGTATTGGGAGAAAGTCAAGAAGCGCGTCCATCAGTCTACCAGTAGCATCAGGAAGCAATGACAAAAATTGTGAACAAGAAATTTTCGCTGATCCTAGCTTTGTAACAGCAGCAAGGCAGCTCAAAGCAAGCTTAAGCAGTGTAAGGTCATTTTTAGTAGCTGATCCAGAAGTCTTTCCTGTCGAGCATCTGACAAAGAGGGGGTGAAAGATAAAGCTAAAATTTAGCAAATCTTTTGCTAAACAAACCCCTACATAATGAGCATAAGAACATACAATTTTGTAGCTGCTGTAAAGCAAGGATCTCTTTCCAATATGTTCACAAATGTATTCACAACCATCGGATGTTGATGAGACCAAAACCATTCAGACGTTGAAGGCTGCTTAGCAGACAATTCCTCGTAGATTATACTCTCCAATGGAGCACACAGCCGGGTCAAGCTGAATGTTAAAAATTGATTAATCTGGTAAATTTTTTGTTTAAAAAAAGAACTAACAATGAACATATTAAAATAAAGGATAATGTTCAACCATTTATCACTTTTGTGATCAAAGTAACGACATTATTATTATTCTGAGAATGTGATTGAAGTCACTATAACAATTTGGAGTCCAGCAGAATGAGGACTGCCAAGACCATGGGAAAAGTTCATGTACTTTTCAAATATTTAAGTCAGAAAAGCCAAATAGCTATCTCCTTAAAAAAAAGGGGGCATTTACATACCACCCAATTGTTATGTATTTGATATCTAACAACTGAACTTTAATTTTTACATTTATAACACCCAAATCTTCCATAACACATCAAACAAACCACCATTTTAAATTTAAAAAAGTAAAAAACACATTCTCGTGTTAGGGATGTAAAAAATGAAGTTTAGGTGATAGGTATTTAAATACATAAGAAATGACCGGTATGCACGTAAAACTTCCACAAACAAAAAACAAGCTTCAAAACAATGGAATAATGACATTCGTTTAAGGAATTCTTCGAAGGTAAAAAAAATTATGGGCTAAAAAAATAACCATATGTCAGTAAATAATACACATTTTATCTGCTCTGGCACCTAATATGCTCTACTAGTTCTCCCTGTTGAAGACAACTTAACAAATGAGTTGTATGCAAGCCTTTTCACATGTTTATTTGAATTGAAGCATATCAATAACCATAAAATACTACCATCTATGTTGAATAATAGAGCCATTACTTTCCTAGAATAATAATGAAAATCTTGGGTTCCTGCAGCAGTCAGATAGGCAAGGTTGGCAAGTCTGCTATGGCAGCAATGGGAGCTCCCAAGATAGCCAGCTTGGCCCTCCAATGCTGACACGGCAGCTTCACTACCCCTGGATTAACATCATAAGGTCTGCAGATTGAGCAGATTTAGTAAACAGCTTTTGTAGTTCTCCAAAAGGGATTATATATTTTATTGTTAGTATTTTTATAAGAATAATTGCTGTCATATTGTTTCATTTCCTTTCTTACTAGGATGATTTACTTCTTACTACTTTTTACCCATTGTAAGACTTTATGTATAGAGCCATGTTTCAGGCTTCAGCCAAATAAGTAGAAAGTAATCCTCTTCTCTTCTCTCCTATTTCTCTTCTTCCTTCTTTATTGCACGATATTAGAGCTAGGTTCTGCCTAGGCTATGGCAATTATCGCTAACAATGCTAAATATCACCACCAACGCATAAAATAAACTAGAAAGGTAATATAACGAATTTAAAAGGATAAATATTTCTAACCATTACTGTCATCAATGTAAAATATCTAATGGATTTGGATAGAAATGTTGCATATGAGGAATGCATAATGATGCAGATTCAAAAAATGATCAAGCTAGCAAGAGAAATTCTAATATTAAGATTGGTATTAGCAAAATTAATTGCATTGATTAAAAAATTCAAGAAAATGTTATTGATGGAACATATACACAATACTTGCAGTGCTTCGACCTTCAAGTATACTTAGCATTGCTTATGTTAGCAATAAGATGACCTACTTTCTATTTCAAAACACAAAAATTGAAAAACCATAATTTTGGAGAAAAATCAGTTACGCAATTTCCTAGCACAGCATAAACAAAATGACCAGTGCTATCATTGTCCAAACCAAGAAAATTGAACTAAAATTTAACAAGCTAAAAGAAAGCACTGTTAGTCCCAGTGCTTGCTTCCATCAAGTATACCAAGAATTGCTTATGTTAGCATGAACTGTTTCTATTCTAACAACCTTAACAGACTAAAAACTGCAAAAAAAAATTATTCTGGAGAAAAAATAAACAGTTTTAGCAGATTACTAGAATTGCATAAACAAAACAATTTCTGTTATACTGTCCAAACAAAAAAGAAGTGAATGGATTTCGGTTTCCTTAAATTCTGAATTTATCAGTTTCTATCTATCTGATATGGTTTTCGAACACAGCAAATGTAATTCAAAAAAATGCAGTTGTTCCTGCCATCTCTTCATGCCAAACTTGAGTGTGTTTGCATTAAGCTAAAGATCAAACTCCATATCTGTATTCAACAACCAAACAAGTGTTGAAAAGGTACTTGCTTACATCCCATCTGTTTAAACAAAACCAAGTTAAAACTCATCCAGAAAGAGAAACTTACAAAATAAGCATAAGTCATTCCCGCGTTTTATTTATATTTTCAAATAAGAGGGCTTATGTTATATTTTCAAATAAGAGGGCTTATGTTACATCAGATAAAAAGCCATAAAAACCAAGTTACAAAAGGAATGACAAGAAACGAAGAAAAATTTATGGACCTTCTATGAACAAGAAGATTGATATCTCTATCTCTTCCATCTCCGCGAGATGAAATTTCTTTTGTTCCTTGCAATAGAGAGTGAACTGCAGCCTAAAAGAATTAAAAGATTAGAGCAGTTTCAATAAACTATATAAGTAATTAATATAGAATTTACAAGAAAAAGAAACAGCAGATGATTAGATATTAAAACATTTCCATGTTTTCCAAAATATTATCCAGGTCTTTCACTTCACATCTTTCACATGGATCTCAATCATTAATTAGTGAATAAATCATAATGTACAAGGATCTACAAGAAAGGCATTGCATTTCTACCATTCATTATAAACTTGTCCCACGCTCGCTCTTCCTAGCCCCCAATCACCATCCACTTTAAGTCGACTTGTGAAAAGAGGAATATTATGACTACTTGAATGAGTAGTAACAAAACAAAATTTTGTTTATAATTTAGGAAATTAGAAAAAAAAATTACTCTTATTCAAGCTACTCAACAAACTATTGTGCTTCAAGTTTCCTGGATGAGTAAAGAGAACAACACAAAAAAGAGGCAAAAAGGCTTACAGTGGTTCGGCATTATGAACTATATCCCCCGAGACGGGGGCCAAGTACCTCTTATTACTTAGATAATAGAAGTGCACGATTGCAAATGAGCAAAAACTTGCTGATAAGTAGAAGAATAAAAAATGGTCTTCTAATTCTCCCGCATGTATATGGTTCTAGCCAAAGAAAATTGCAGGATTTACAATGGGGATGCCAACTGAATTGTTGCAAATCTTTAATAAGAAGATGTTTCATTTTGAAAGTTATCTGAGTGAAAAAAATTTGAATTCAAACTTCAACAGTAACCTTGGGATGAATGTGTCAGCTATTATTCACTCGAGTAAAAGCAGCCTTTCCATGAAGTATCAAAGTGGATGAATAGAAATTCATGTGGATTTGGTAGTTACTAGGTAGAACTACATATTCTGAATGCAATGCTTACTCTAATTTGAAAAATTATTAGGCTAGGGATTTGTAACACAATAGTCATAAAAAAACATGTGTACCGCTCTAACTTGATCATCTGAAGAAAAATTTTAATTTGGCATGCATTTCTACCTCATTTTGAAAGCTAATGGAGCATTCCTTGCACAAGAAAACAGGCACAATTTGGAAAATGTAAATTACTCGAATTCAAACTCAGTCACTCCAAGCAATACAACAACCAGGAATTACATAATAGAAAGATAACATTTCATGAAGCTATTGTCTATTTTTTACTCACAACAACAACAGCAACAAGTATTTATCCCACTAAGTGGGGTCCAAATTGTAAGTAGCTATCATCTACATGAATCCTCTTTCCCATTATGTCCTATTGAGGGTTATAATTTCATTTAATTCTAATAAATTAAGATCATTTTTTATACAACATGCCCGAGTCTTTTTAGGTCTACCTCTATTTTTCTTAACCTAAGTCAAATCTAAAACAACCACTGTCCTAACAGAGTCATCAGATGGTCGACGTTTAATATGACCAAACCATTTAAGGTGACTCTCTCCAATGTTGTCCGCCACTGGAGCTCCTCCAACTCTGTCTCAGACATATTTGTTTCACATTTTATCTCTAAGTATAAAACCACTCATCCACCTACATATTCTCATCTCAACAACAGTTAATTTTATGCTTCTCTTTTACATGCCAACATAATGCACCATAAAGCATGGTAGGTCTCACCACTATTTTATCAGATGTTCCTTTCAGTTTAAGCGATATTTTTCTAACACACAATAAACCCGATGCATTCTTCCACTTCAAACATCCAACTTGAAATCTACTAATAACATCCCTATCTATTTTTTACTCACAAATAAATCAAAATTAAAACTTTATAGAAAACACAATAGTATAATAATTTTAAGCCATCAAACTTATATGCCTTGCATGATGAATGTAACCCTAAGCAGCACCTTTAATGTTAAAATTTAGCAACCCTAAGCATCAACTTTAATGTTAAAATTTAGCAACAAAATATTTCCCATCTAGTATTTAGCATAATCTTAGTGCTTATTTGTGACCTCTTTTGTTTTCTTTTATTTTAAATACATATTTGTTTAATACACATTTTCCTTCTTCTTTTTTCTTTTTTTTTTTTTAAACAAACTAGCTTGTTTTTAAAAAACACTCAAAACATCTAAAAGTTATTTTAAGTGTTTTTGAAAACAACTATACATGTTATATCATTACAAACATGTTTTGTTTTAAATAAAAAAAATAAACAGATAAAGTAAAATAAATAATAAAAAAAACAAAAGTGATCCCAATCAACCCTTTAAAGTTTAGATTTCAATGTAAAAATTTGTTGTGTACCCCATTATCTCTTGCAATTCTCTAAAAACTTGATAAATTTCTTATTTAGTCTAAGACTTTACCTTTTATATTTGAAAGCTAACTTTAACATTTTTCAATCAACCTATAGTATAGAACTTAGTTATATACATTATACACTCACTTAGAAAATTTCCTTAATACTCTCTTTCAATAATATCCCAAAATAACATTCTTAAATTTCTTAATGACTTTTAATTAAAGACTTGTTACCTTCACCATTAACACTCTCTAGATTTTCGTTTCTTAGCATAAGCTACTTTTATCTCTCTCTGCCACGTCTTGGAAAATTACATTGATGTTGGCGTCTTCCGCATCCCGCGTCCACTGACGCAAGATGTAGAAGCGACGTGCTTCTAGATCGAAAGCAAGAAGATGTGTGTAGCTCAGACCGGCTCATAATAGAGGTGTTGAGGGCCAACCAATCCTTCCTGCATGTGGACTTGTCGCCTATTGAGAGTGGGGACCACTATTTAATTACCATAGTATTATATATGTTATTCTCGTCGTGTTACCTTAATCATCGCAGTATTATATAACATTATTCTTGTCATGTTCTAGGATAGTTTTTGTGAGTTTTTATGTCAGGACAGAAGCCAAAGTCTTAAAGTTTTCTCTTCTAGAGTTGTATCAAAGGCCAAGTGATGCTCCGGTTACATCTCGTTCTGAGGAGGTGATTCTTCTCCAAGGGTCGAGTAATGCTCCGATTGTATCTTACTCCCGAGGTAGTATCTCTCCTCAATTTTCCCATCCTCTGCACTACTCCCTTCCGACTTGTTTTCACCTTCCCAGAAACCTCACTTCCTCCTCCTTACTGCTAGCACCCCTAAACCTCATTTTTCCTCATTGCTCCCACACATGACAGCATTACTCTTGTTTTTCTACAGTTCATAGCCCTTCCTCTTCAATTCCCCTCGCTGCCACAGCCCTCAGTTTCGCTGTCGCTGTTCTTCTAGGCCTTCCACATCGCTACCATTGCAGTTCCAGCCCCTCTTACAGTTTCCAGCAACCCCATAGTCCATTATAGTCACATATCACCACTCCCGGGCCACCTAGCCAACCCTCACCACCCACTGATCGAACCCTAGTGTGAGTTTGTGTTGTGTTGTATTTCGTATTTCAGTGTTTGTTTAGTTGTAACCACCTATTTAGCTTTTGTAGTAACAATAATTGTGTTCCTATTACTATTTGGGTTAACTCTGATACCATTTGATATCAGAGCAAGAATAACTCTAATCTTATCATAGGATTTCTAGTATCCACCAATACCCAACCCTATGTCGCACAAAAATACTTCTCTTTGCTAATTTTTCAAATGAGCCACTCAAAAATTTTCTTTCCCACCTTACATGATCCCTATACATCCTCTTTCATCTATTCAAACCCAAACCCCAAACCCCAAACCCAACAACACCACCTAAGAGACAATTATCAGGGACTTATTCGAGAGGAAATTTCATAATGTCATTTCTAAGATATCCATAAAAAGAAGTCTGGGAATTTTTTATAGAGGATGTGCAGTGAAAAATTCTCCAACTGTAACAAAGGCATACTGCCTTTGGGAAAATGCAATCTGGAAGAGTCAATTATAGCCATAATAGTGACTTGCTAGGTCGAAAGAATACGGTGAATCCCTTCCACAAGGCAGATTTCAGAGAAAAACCATTAATCCAAAGACTTGGCATAAAATATTAGAGAATATGAGATTTCAACGTAAAAATGAAGTTGTCATATTTTAACGGTCACATGGATTCGGACGAGTTCATCGAGTGGTTTTGAACAACGAAACGTGCTTTGAATAACATCCCACTAAGAAAATGGTGAAACTAACCGCCAGTAAGTTAAGGAAAAGTGCATCTCGATGTTGAGAGAACTTGAAAATACTTTGACAACAGCAAAAAAATAATAAAATTACTAGTTGATCTGTAATGAAACAAGAAATACAGCGCCAGTACCTGTCAGTTTATTACAGACAGGATGGTTTCAAAATAGAAGATGTAACATCACTGAATGACCACCACATCATACAAACAGAGTTGAACCCCATGTTTATAAAGCCAGAGTACACCTAAGGGAACATCCAAGCAGTCCACACAAAAGGAGACACTAGTTCAATGCAGAGAAATGGTGGCACCAATCTGCGTTCACAAATCTGTCCCAGTCAGGAAGTATTTCAAGTACCATGGATTTGAGCACATTAAATCAGATTGCACAATCAAGAGAATGATCTATTTCACTAATCAGAGAGCAATTGAAGAAATAGACAGAGATACAGGAGAGAATGAAGACTTCATAAATGAGCCTCAACTTCAAACTGACGATGAATAGACGCTAGTGATTAAAGATGACCCACAAAAAAGACTCCAATTGGACTGGTAGAGGTTGCTCTAGAAGAAAGTGAGTCTGAGAAGCCGATACCTAAAAAGGCACAACACTTGTTGACAAAATCATTAGACATCTTGATTGACAGTTCATCTATTGGGTGGTTACTGTTGAAAGTCGTCTAACATGTCATAAATGAGAAGCTTATGAGCTACTATTGAAAGGCTATGTGAATTATTTGGATATTAAATTCAGTTCAGCAGTGAACCCACCGACAGATGGCCAAAAAAGAAAGGATGAACCACAACTTTGGAAATTGTCTTGGGAGTTTGGTGGAGAAGAAATTCTACAATAGAATTCAAGCCCTACCAAAGAAGAAGAAGAGGTCTCTCTTGAATGGTCGGTAGTGAAAGTTACTCAGTTTGTCATATATTTAGTCTCACAATTGAATCCTCCGTATATACTTGTTTATCGAATATATCCAATCGAGTATGAGAAGTGGATGAGAAAAATTAAAGATCAAGTGGCTCGAGAGTTACTTTGTGAGAATTTACGACTAAATACAGCTTCAACTTAAATTGAGCCACAAAATGATGGATATTTATTCTATTGGGATATACAATGGAATGACAACGCCTATAGGATTGACTCATCGGAAAGTTACAATAACTTCACCACCTTCAACGTGGTCGACCTGACATCATACTATAAGAAGACAGAAGCTTCAACAAATGAGATAGAAGCTACCTCAACCACGGAAGACTAAAACAGCATTTCCTGCATCCTGTGTCCACTAATGTGGGGCGTTAAAGATGCGACGTCGCTGCTTCTGGACCAGACGTAAGAAGATGTGTGCGGCTTGGACCTGCTAAAAATAGAGGTGTTGAGGGGCGATTGATCCTTCCTGTCCGTGGATTTGCAGCCTATTTGGAGTGAGTCCACTCCTTAGTTTCCTTAGTATTATATATATTGTTCTTATCCTATTTTGGGATAATTTTTTGTGAGTTTTTTGTAGGGACAGCCATTGACGTCTCCAAATTTTCCCTTTTAGGGTTATATGCAAGGGCGAGTGGTGCTCCGGCTGTATCTCATTTCGAGGTGGTGATTCTGCTACAATGGTCCAGTAGTGCTCCGATTGTATCTAGCTACCAAGGTGGTATTTATCCTCAACTTTCCCATCCTCCACACTCCTCCCTTCCGACTTGTTCCCGTCTTCCCAAAAACCCCACTTTCGCCTTCTTCTTACTGTCAACACCCCTAAACCGCCTTCTTTCTTGTTGCCCTTGCACAGGACAACACTCCCCTTGCTATTATGCAATCCACAGCCCTTCCTCTTTACTGCCCCTCATTGTCCCATACCTTCACTTCGTTGTCGTTGTTGTTTCAGGCCTTCCGCCTAACAGACATCATAGTTCCAACCACTGCCGTTTTCAGCAACCCCACGGCCCATTCCACCTACCACCACTCCCCAACCACCAAGCCAACCCCCACCAACTACAGATCGAACCTTGGTGTGAGTTTGTGTTGTGTTATTGTATTTCACATTTCAATGTGTTTAGTTGTAATCGCCTATTTGGCTTTTTCAGTAATAATATTTATGTTTCTATTGTTATTTGGGTCAACTCCAATATCAAGCATACAATAAGGCATTTAACAGCTGAATCATAGGCGTTGCTTTCCACCAGCTTGGAAAATATTCTGGTTTTCTTACATATATTGTGTCAAAATATCAATTATTTTTGTCATCATTAAAAGAAATTTTAATTATTTATAACCTTTTATAACACTACTTTCTTAGATTTAAAATATTTTACACACTCCTGAAAATTCTTTCGTAATTATCTTAACACAGCAAGTCATTTCATCTTGCATCATATTTGATTTACCTACAAAGTTTAAATTGAATCACTACACAACTTATCTTGAAAGATTAAACTAAATTAAAAAAAGTCATATTTTAAGCGTTAACCTGTTCTCCTATGGAAATAACCACTTTTAATTATTATACTATTTACACATCTGATAAAAACAATTCTTCATGCCCTGCGGTTACAATCTTTGCAAAAAAAATCTTCTCTTTTATTCTTACAAAATAAAAGTCTGCTATTAAAACAACTTCCTTGAAAAGTAAGAGTTCCTCCCATCTTCATTTATGAGTTAATAATTTCCAGAAACTCACGTCAAAATTACCTTAGTTATTTAAATCTTAGATACTACAAATTAAATATCTCTACTAATTCGTTACATCGTTTTCTTTAGTGTGTTCGTATGATTGGTAAAAACAGATATCATTCTTCTACGAACCTGATAAGACAGTACTTTAACCCAAGCGCTTTTGTCAACACCAAGCCAAGTCTTTGAGAACCAAGCGGATTTTGATGATGAGCTATGTTCAAGAAAGGCCAACTCTATTGCCCGTGCTGCATCGTGCAAGGATTGCACAAGTACACTGCTAAGATTTTTACCTTGCAAAGATTGATCAGACTTAAACCGCACGTCCTCTGCATCACTAGCATGGCTTCTTTGTGGTGTTCCATTAACTGCCACACCATCATCACTGGTGGCTAACAAGATAAATGGTACATTCCTTCTTGCTTTCATTGAAGAAGGTGAAAATTTTACGAGTTCCAACCATCCATATTTGAAGCTACGCTTCTCTAATTCTGATGAATTGTGTCTCAAGTGATAGCTCTTCCTTAAACCATTGTTATAGCATATCCAATATTTTGGTCCTGTGGCTTTGCATGACAGATAATTTTGCGAAACTCTGCACACACAAATACTTTGAATGAGAAAGATGAACAAACAACGATCGGATTATTATGCGAGCGGGAAAGAATGCATAAAAGTCGTCAGGTGCGCCAAAATGGAACACGTATAACTGTTAGCATGGGGATGAGAACAGAATTCCAAGTACCCAAATTCACTCAATCAACGATAAGTTCATTAAGCGGAGAACTCCAGTTCCAGATGCCCCGTTACTATTGATAAACACAATTTTTATCACCACGACCACATTCAGGTCACAAATGATCGAACTATTACCCAAAAAAACAATAAAAAAAGGTAAAGGAAGAAAAAAGAACATTGCATTAAAGCAATCTACCCGCTGATCCCAGTTGTTGTGCCCCCGGACGCGCCAGTTGCCGCAGCCATCATATCTCAGTTGCTCCGCCCCGAAGAAGTTTCATTGACTAAGGACATGCTGAAAGAAAGTGGATCCGAAAGTGATAAGCTTGCCATCACGGCCAGTTCGCTTCCATGGCTATCTGTGCCGAAGAAGCAGTACAGCGGATAAAATTGATGCGAGAGAAGGGGAACACCGCCGCGTGTATGAAGTAAGAACGATGAAAACTAGCGTCCCTGGCCTTTCTTTTAGATATTTAATACCTAAATTTGAATCTTAATATATATCATATTTTTTAAATGTTAACAAAGGTGTCTTTTCTTTTTTTTTTTTTTTAATTATTCATTATATTGCTTTTAACACCCTAATTGCCAAGTCTCAGTTCTCGGGTGCAAAAAGTTGAGGTTTGGGTTAGGTAGTCATAGCGAGTTTAAAATTTTGTGTTCAAAACATAATATGGATCATTTAAATCATTGTATAAATATTATGACGTTTCCGGAAAGTGATACGTTTATAAAATAAATACAGCGAAAATTTTACAAAGATCGTGACACATGCATCTGAGCATAATGTTTGAAAACCATAATTTCCTACATTATGGATGCAGAGAAATAAATTAATTCATGAAATTAATATCAGGATGTGATCTTAGAAATATAGGTACTCTTTAGAGATGAATTAATGGAATTTGTATATATTATGGTTAATAAAATGATAATATATTGTGCATTCAAGATACTAAAAGGGTTTGAGAAAATGCTAAGAAGATTAATAATTTATGTTTTAAATTTTGGTATTCAGATATGATTAGTACTAGAAATAATTTAAGTGTAATTATAAATAAGAGATTGAAAGATAATATTGTAAAAATTAATATAATTAGAGATAGAATTATAGTCTTAAAAATTATTTTTGATATTAAAATTCTTAATGTCATAAGTGCTTATACTCCTCAAATAGGTTTAGATATTTGTTTAAGAGAAAAAATTTTAGGATGACCTAGAATAATTAATACAAAGGATTCCTCTTGAAGATTTTTTTTTTTATTTAAGGAGATTTAAATGGAGATGTGATTGTGAAGAGACTGCATGAAAATCTTTATATTTTGCATATTTTTTTTAATGAAATTGTACTTTAAAGAAATGTATTTACATGTTTTTATTGCATATATAACAAGTAATATGAGTGGAACAAAGTGGAAGAAACATGGTGCGAAAAAGAGAAAATTTTTTTAAGAAAAAAATTTGTTTGTGAAGGCAAAGCCATGGCGCCAAGTGTTAGGTGTCTAGGCACCAGCCAAGCCTGGAACCCGAGAGATTGGAGTCAGAGCGTCAACCACCATGTGTCATGGCCCCTACTATGAAGGTCAAAGTCATGAAGCCAGATCAGTGTGGTGGCTATGCCCCAGTCAAGTAAAGTGCAACTCGAAAGGTTGACGCTTAGGCTCCAACCATTGGGCGACATGGCCTCAGTCCTAAAGGCCAAGGCCATGGCGCTATAATTGAGTGGTGTATAGGTGTTAGGACCGAAATTTTGCAAATGTGATGTGATGATAATCTTCAGCTTTATTTTTATGTAATTATTAATGACTTAGTGACTCTTTGTAGTGAAAAGTAGAAGATAAAAGTAATTTCTTCCAAGATATCTATTACACACTCAACTTGGTATAATTTAATTTCGTAGATAGGTTAAATAAGGTCGGGCCGTGATAGGTTAGGTGTCGCAAGGCGGCGATGATTGATGACAACAAGGTGGGAGGGAGTTAGGTGGTAAGCAGCTAACTACAAGAAAACAACAATGAGGTTGTTTATGGGTGCCTGTAGTGAATATGACAACAACGGCGGTGAAGGGAAGTTCACAAAGTAGTGGAAAAGGTTGAGGATAAATATCCTTGAAGATAAAACTACAATTGGAACACACCTCCTCAGACAAGTTATGATAGGAGTACCTTCTCTTCTTGTGATACTACCCTATAAGAGGAGAGAGAAGTTGATGAAAGAAATGTAAAAATAAATAACTAAAAACCTCAAAGAAAAAATCACATACATAAGCCCTAGACACTTGGGATTGTGCCTCCTATGGAAAAGAGGTGCTAACCTATGTGAACATGCTGGTCGGCCATCCCGGGTCTGGACAATTTGGCCCAAGCGAGCCAAAATCATAGGAGCACGAGTGGCTCCCTGTTACATTGTAACTTCTTGCATGAAGTTATCTTTTGTGTCCCACACGAGCATGACACCCTTACGCCTAACCCTGTACCCCCTTTTGTGCCTTGACTCCTCACATACAAATTGTATTCACAAGAAAAAATTATGCTCAGTGTTAGTCTCCTGGGGTTGAGGGAGCTTCAATTTTATCCATCAAAGCTTTAGTATCCTTGTAGTATGGCACAGGTTGTTGCAAACAACGAAAATGACGTAATCTCATGGTAAATCAATCCCGTAGGTGCTGACATTCCATAACTTGTCTTGATAGAATAAATATGTATCATTTTTTGACACGTTCTGAGTTAGAGCTGCATATAGATGTAAGTTCCTACAAGGTAACTATGAAACTCTTAAGCTAGAATTTTCTTCTTCCATTTCTCCTACTCAGAAGAATGTAGCTAATAAATAAGTATGCAAAGAGCAATCAACTCAAAAATAAAATATGTGATAGACTATTCCACTCTTACTGACAAGTACTTAGAAGAGATCTCTTATTCACTGGTATTATTTGAATCGCATTGAAAAATTTTATTCCCTATTAAACCCCTAAGATAAATTTCAAAGTTGTGGTTCATCCTCCTGTCTAGACATTTGATAATAAGTACACTACTGAACTAAATCTAATATCCAAAAAGCTCCATATAAGCTTTCAGACGTGGCACAAAAGAACCTCATTTCCAACATGATGGACCTCCCTCAATAGAGGCAATCTAAGAAGGAGTCTATATGGGATTGTCTTGTGTCTGACATCAACTCTTCACACTCATTGCCCTTTTGGACATCCATAACAATCCTGTTGATGCTCCTCTCAATGCCTACAAAATGGTAGATTGAGGCACCATAATCTCATAGTCTGCATGGCACCCATTATCTCAGACTCTGTAATTTCAAAAGTATTTGCTGTCAAATCAGCTGGAATCTCTCTCCTTGATTAAATTGGAATTGATAGTCTCTTCCTCACCGACTAATTGATATTCTTCTTTCGTGTCCTCACTCTCTTTTGTGTCTACCATGTCATTACCAATTTTTTTTAACTTATATTTGCTCAGTGAAATATATCTTACTCTTGGTTGCACAATCTACTAATTATGCCCAAATCTATGACACTTTAAACACTTACTGCCTCAGTCAAATTTAAGAATACAAGTTCGCTCCACCTGTTCTCTACTTTGAATTAGTTTCTACTTAGGTGGTGTCGGCTTGGATATTTGCTTGGGTATACGTTGGTTGTAAGATCCCAAGGTTGAGCCTTGTCTTAAAATATAGTCACCGTCTTGTGATGTTGTCTCTCCAACTTTGAAATTGGAATTTGAGCATCCAGTCTATAATGAATTAGTTAGTTCCGACACTGCATCTCTAGTTTCATCTCAGATCAGTTATTTGTTTTATATTTTCCTTTTCACTGATGTAGGTACTTCAGATTTTTCCACAAAAATAATGCATTATTATTTAGCTTGTTGACGAATAGTTTCACTATTATGCCCCGATGGCTTGTCTTGACACTCAAAGATACATTCTAAGGTTTAGAGCCACTCGATTAACCTGTCCGGATCAACGTTGCAACCAAAATATGACAAATTTACCTTCACTTCAAAATTATGGCTTCATAAATATTATAAGTCACATCTGCAAGATAGAGGTTCTTGTCGGCACTATTTTTGGTGTGGGGTTTGCCCGTAAGAAGCTGTCGATCATCGAAATTGAAATCCCATTGCCCGCTTCGGAATGACGAAGGTGGTAAGACTCTGTTATAGTTGACAGTTTCCCACTTCATGTCCTCTATAAAAATCTCCCAGACATCTCTTTGTGCATTTCTCATAAAAAACATTGTGTCCTTTTCACTCGACCTGGTTTCCAACAATTTTCTCCTTGACAACATAACTAACTCTGTTATAGTTGACAGTTTCGCACTGCATGACCTCTATAGAATTCTCCTAGACATCTCTCTGTGAAATTCTCATAAACAACATTGTGTCCTTTTCACTCGACCTTATTTCCAAAAATTTTCTCCTAGACAACATAACTAGGTTTAGAAATTGAAAGAACGTATTTGGGGACAAGAACAAAATATTTTGGAGTGTATGGTTTGGGTATGGTGGATGCTATGAAACCTATGGATATGACAAGGGTTGGGCCAACTCTAATACCAATTGATACATGAGATAACACAAAACATAATAGAAAAAATAAATATTATTACTAAGATCAAATATGCTGTTACAATAAAAAATCACTTGTAAAGGTAAATACAACACACACGACACACAAACTCAAGTTAGGGCATATTTGTTGATAGTGGTGATAGTTATATGCTTGGAGAGATGGAGAAATGAAGGGGTTTTTGAATTAAGGAAGAGGAAAAACAATGATTACTGGCGATTTAAAAAGTAGGGCAGTAATGAATGTTAGTCCAAATAGCAGTAGTTTGTTGTTTGAGGAGATTGAACAGTGTTTGGGTGGCAGAAATTAGTTTGAAAAGGTCAGGACAACCACTAGTATTGTGAGTTTAGGATAGTGGGAAGGTGGCAGTAGAGGTGCTAGTTGGGTGCTAGAAGGCGACAATGAGGGATAACAATAAAGTGGGAGGGAGCTGAATGGTATGTGGTTGCAAAAAAACAACAAGGAGGTTGTTTTCGAGTGAGTATGACAAATACGATGATGATGGCGCCGAAGAGAAGGCTGCATAGGATGAATATAATCTCAGGATTAAACTATATCTCGAGCACCACTCAATCATTGAGGGACGTCATCACCTTGGACGAGTTACAACTCGAGCAGATTCACGTCTTTAGATACAACTCTAAAGAGGAGAACAACACCGTTGACAAAAACCTGAAAACGAAAAAAGTGAAAAACTCAAACTAAAACTCATATATATAAACCCTATATACTTAGAATTGTATCCCTCTATAGAAAGGAGGCTCCAAACCCCCGTGAAAGAGTCGGTTGGTCCTCCCGGGTCTAAACTAAGGGTGTAAATGAGTCAAGCTCGAGCTCGAGCCATGCCCTTATTGAGCTTGGCTCATTTGTCAAATTGTGAGCTAGAGCCAACGCTCGAATGATGAGCTTGAGCTCAGCTTGGATTGGTAGCAGCCGACTTGTAAGCTCAAACTAAAAATTCAATTTTTACTTGAGCGCATTGAAAAAAAGTTATTGGTGGTCAGATGATGAGAATGAAAATGCTTCTCACTAGAATATGCATCAAAATAACAAAAGGTAGGCTAATAAAGTCAGCTCGTGAGCCAAAGAGCTGAGTCAGAACGAGCTCAAGCTCGAGCTTAAGCCTATTTAATAAACAAGCTCAAGTTTGAGCTCGAGCTCGAGCACATGGTTTGATAAACTTAGCTCATGAGCTAGTTAATGAGTCGAGCTCGAACTGGCTAGACTCATTTACACCCAAAATCTGGACCGGTTTGGTTCAGGCAAGCCAAAATCATGGGAGTGGGAGCGGCTCTCTGTTACGTCATGACCTCCCACAACTATCCTTTGCGCTTGTACGAGCATGTTGACTTAAAGCAGAAATCACATATATAAGCCCTACATACTTAAGATTGGATCCCTCTATGGAAAGGACACGCCAAACCCACGTGGAAGAGTCGGGCGGTCCTCCCAGGTCTGGACTAGGGGTGCAAATGTCCAGCTCGAGCCTAAGCCATGCCCTTATCGAGCTTGGCTCATTTGTCAAATTGTGAGCTAGAGCTTGAGCTCTGCTTATATAGATAGCAGTTGACTTGCGAGCTCAAACTAAAAATTTAATTTTTACTTAAGCACATCGAAAAAGGTATTGGTGGCCAGAGAAGGAGAATGTAATGACATCTCACTGGAATTGAACCTAAATGACTAGAGGTAAGCTAATGGAGCAGGCTCACGAGCCAACAAGCTGAGCCGGGACGAGCTCAAGCTCAAGCTTGTTTAATAAATGAGCTCAAGTTTGAGCATGAGCTTGAGCTCATGGCTCGATAAGCTTGGCTCTCGAGCTCGTTAACAAGTCGAGCTCAACCCGACTAGACTCACAATACACCACTAGTTTGGACATGAGCCAAAATCAGGGGAGTGGGAGCGACTCTTTGTTACGCCGTGACTTCTCGCAGCTATCCTTTACGCCTATGTGGGCATGACGTCCCTGCCCCCGCCCTTGTCCCTCCTTGTTGACTGTCCGCATTCTGATGCATTTGGGTGAAAACGTCCCGCTCCAAAATAATTATATTTCTATTTTTTTTTGGTCATTAGAAATTAAGATTTTTAGTAATATAAATCTAAAGTATAAGTTTATGAACATCTTTTAGGTATATCATTGGAAGTTGAAAAGATTTGATATTTTTAGGAGTCGAGCTTGGTTTGTTCCTCAAAGGGATGAAACTATAGGTCTCATTTGCACCCTCTTAAATTAGATTTAAGCTTCTTACAATATTTATACCACTCACTCTAGTTTAGGTTCTAAGGCACTTCGTTTCTTTTTACTATCAGATAAGTTTTCATCTCGTAGGCTCTTTCATGATCTCATGTTCTTGGAATATATCTCACAACTTTCAAATTAAATGGACATCTTAAATCTCAGTGAATCTTAATTTCTAAAATGCAAAGCCCAAACCAAGATAGTTGGAGTGCTGAATAAGTTTCGTATTTACACGCCCACTACTTTCTGAGAAGAAATGTTCAGACATGAGCTATCCCTTTTAAGTTTTAATAACAATCTTGAAAGTTTAAATACTCAAATTTATAGAGACACGAGCCACTAATTTAATCGAGAGTTTTTTTTGGAGGAGTTTTTCTTTATGACATAATTAACTTGAAAGACTTGCCCTTATAAGGAATATGTACCCCATAATAAAATAAGGCTTTTTTCTCCCAAAAGAGATAAAAAAATTAATTGATTCATACAAACTCCTAAAATTTAGAGTTTTTACTTAGTGATTGAATCTATTATACAATGATCTTTCCTCCATCAAAGATAGTATACCATTCTTAATGCCAACTTCAATCAGCTATATAATAAAATTTTAAAATTTGTGTGGTGTTACACTTAATCCCATCATAATCCTTAAACAATGATATTTAACGTCACTCATTTAAACTAATCTTAATATATTCACGCGACTCTAAAACCACTCCAATCGCATAATAATTTTTACAGAATGTAACTAATAAAATTAAACCTACTAGAATAAATTAATCTAATATCTTCATTTCATCAAATAACAAAAGAAATTACACTTTAACAAAATCTACAGTAACCTAATTTCAATTTAAATAACAATTAAATTGATTAATCAAAATTTTCCTATTAAATGAACTAGCAATAAAAATATAGATTTTGGATGTTATGGGAGAGAAAGGAAAAAAAAATAATGAAGATGGGGGTGATAACGAAGGAGATGATGATGTCTTGCCATTATTGTTG